CCACAAGATACGCCGAAACATTCTACAGCTCTTACTACAAGAAAGGAATTTTTGAACTTAATCTAGGTGGGTAAAATTGATTTTTACACGTTTCCGATTGTGTAGTTGCGCAAGTGATATTTTTGTGACATCCATTACTTTTAATGCTACAAAAGAACGGTACATGCTTATTTAAAAAAGAACATATCAATAAAATCTACACAAAATTCTCTATTTTTTAGCATCAGAACCAAACCTTCTGATCAAGTCTAATTTGAGAAAAAAGCCTATCAAAAACCGGCAATTTCCACTGCCGTACCCGTTATTTAGTTTTAACATACGATATTAAAGTGGACACCATAGAATTGAAAAAATTCTAGTATAATAGTAGTATATATATGCACAATTATTTACAATATTTGTATTTGTCTTTGTCAGATACATTACACATATCAAAACTACATGTTTGTCCCCGTCAAAAATGTCAAATAAAAACTGGACAACTATTTCGATCGTTATCTTAAATATTATCATCGACGTAGAAATTATAATATTTTTCCACTATGCAACTATCAGGTTCAATGTATTACGCCAACAGATTCGAGTACTTATACTTTAATGTGCAAGATCTTCTCATGACCATACTCAACGAAGGGAATCAACAAGATTACCATCATCAGTACAAACTTCTGCTGTCAAGTGCGCTCAGAATAGGTTAATTTAACTACGAATTCGAACAATGTTGACAGTTGATCGTCCCACCTACACTGTATCAACTAGTCGATTAACAAATATAATACCATATCACAGAAAAAAATAATTGTCCAAATATATTCTTGGCGCATGACTTTAGACATTGGTGCGATGAACGTACGGATAATAACATTACTATGCATAGGCAGTACATAATAGTAAAAAAACATTTATTCGATTTTCTTCTTCTGTGTTTTGTTGATTAATTAAGTTAATTAATAAAAAGTTAGTGCTCAATGAATATATTTATAAGTTCTCTTTTAGCACATCTCGAAAATAGTGCTCGATTTAGTGGTCGGCTCTCACTATTAAAAATTTAATGCTCGTGTGTGTGTTACTATTGTGTTTTCTAAAAAACTATCGTCCTTCATTTTTGATGATTTATTATTTCTTTTAGAATTATCAAAGAACTGAACAGTAGAAAAAATTAAAATATATTTTAAATTTCACAGTATTGAATCTCAAAAATCAAATTTTATTTTTATTGTAGATTTCTTTTCATAATATGAAATATTGGACTTTTTTATGCATTTAATTCATTTCGTACAAAAGTAAAGACGCATCACTGACTCACATGCTCAACTATATTATAAAAGTTCACGGATATCATTTTTCTTGTTTACTTTTTGTTTATTAATATGCATTTAAAAGTGATGTTGGATTGGTGAACAACAGACAGTACATCTATTTTTTATGTTAATTGAAATAGTAGTTGTTAATATTTTCACTGTTTTATCTATGATATTATCAGTTATTTATTTATGTTGTTGTTGTACATCAGTGTATTCAATCTATTTTATATAAAAAAAGTATCTGGTCACTAATTGACATGTCTTGTTTATGAATTATATGTGTACGATTCAACACAGACTTTTATCTTGATCAAATTGATCAACTGATCTTTCATTCATTCCATTTTCTTTGTTGGCCAAAATATGCAATAAATAAGCTATTGAAAAATAGCTGGGTAATTCCATGAGAAATCGACCAGCATTACATCGACTTTCACCGCAAACTTTGAGACCTATGTCATTCGAAAGAGCATGAAATTCTGATTAAGAATATGTGGTTTAAAAAGTTTTAAAACATTGGCGCGGTGTCGAGGGCGAGGCCGACATTATTGCTTTTTGTCGAAAACGGGGGCCCACGGTCAGACATTTTTCTCGATAACCATAGATGGTTAGGAGTTGCTATTAATGTCAAATATTCTACTGCATAGTACTATCAAAATGGCATATGTAAGAAAGATTCGAAATGCATACGTAGAGCGCAGCACATATCTGAAAATTCTCAGTCAAGCGAAAACAGACTAATGTAAACAATATTTTCTGACATGATACCAGAAGCAAAAGTGAATGCAAATTAGTGGACTAGAATCAACTTTTCAAGCGCTATCGAATGGTATATCTTTTATTTGTTCATGTCATTAGCAATGAGTAGAAATGAAGAAACGTTGACGAGCACTTTTACAAAAATAACGATTTTCACCAACTTTATAGATTTGTTCAAGCCTCTCTCCCTACAACTAAACCTCGGCATTTATGCTTTCGAGTGATCTAATCCAAGCACTATCTCTGGTAAAAGAACGACGGAGGTTATATTTCTAGTTTTCGAGAAATCTTTATTGGGGGACCAGCAGATTTTGGGAAAGTATGTCAAACATTTTATCACTTTCTCGGTAACTTACTAAACTTCAAAACAAATGTCAGATTCGTGATCTACGAAAAAAACTGCATCGAATAACATATTTGACAAATGTTTCTTGAATAAAAAAATTTCATCGAAAATTTTTCGCCTGGGGTCCCCCTCAGGCATTTTGTACACAAAAACATTTTTTGGCCGAAAAAATTAAATTTTTGCATATCTGCCTTTACTGGCCTTTTAGCTAGCTGTATCACATGATTCAGAACGTGTCCGACCAGAAAATGTTTTTGTATACAAAATGGCTGAGGGGTACCCCAGGCGAAAAATTTTCAATGAAATATTTTTATTCGAGAAACATTTGTCAAATATGTTATTCGATGCAGTTTTTTTCGTAGATCACGAATCTGACATTTGTTTTGAAGTTTAAATGCATATTAATAAACAAAAAGTAAACAAGAAAAATGACATCCGTGAACTTTTATAATATAGTTGAGCATGTGAGCCAGTGATGCGTCTTTACTTTTGTATGTATCCCTAATTTCTCAAAGGTTGTGCTTCCACTGTATCGATTCACAAAGAAGAACGGTAAATTCAGTTGGAACAACGATGCCCAGATAGCATATGATAATTTAAAACAGCAATTGACAACTACGCTCATTCTTCTTCACTTTCCAGATCCACATGTGCCATTCATTTTATCTACAGATGCCAGCGATATTGGAATCGGAGGAGTTCTTAAACAAACAGCCACAAATGGCACTCACTCAGTTTGTTATACATAAAGAAAATTAAAACCGATCGAAAGAAAATATGCCACAATCGAAAAAGAAGCACTGGCAATAGTACATTGTGTAGAGAAGTTTCATCATTACGTTGAGGGACGCGAATTTACGATAGAAACCGATCATTGTCCCCTATGCGATTTTTATCGGAGAAAGTCTAGCAATAGTCTAATTGACCGATGGTCGATTAGATTATCGGAATTTAACATCCTGGCAATTAAGCACAGACGTGGTCAGTACAATTGTGACGCTGACTTGTTATCAAGATTATCAAAAATCCATACAGTTTACCTGAAATCCTGCATTTCTGAAAAATGTGTCAAAGATTTGCTTTGCTTCTTGTAGCGTTAGTCGTACAATTGAGTAGAACATCTTCTGTTCCGCTCACTCTTCAAATTTCATAGAATTTGGTTGAGAAATGGAGGTGCTAGAAGACTTTTATTTTGGTAAGTACGGTTATAGCGGAAAAATTCGTCTTTCGACGTTTCTTTAATCCGGACAACAAAACGAACATTGCCACGACATTCTTGGTGTCTGAAAACCTATGTTTCATGTGTTTTTAGACTTTCTAGACTTTAGATTTAGCCGCTAACGAGAGAGATCCACCAACTTGAAAATCGCTTTTGAGACGAATGATAGATAATCGACCATGCTGATCCCGAATATCGACATAAGACCGGTAGTTAGACCTTCAAAGATCCGTTTTCTGGTAAACCAGTTTTTCAGAAACTCTAAAAAATTACCAAAACTTTTCTTAATGAGGCATGATTGTAGTCCGCAAATTTCTGAGTAAAACGAGACATCTCCCAGCTCTATATGATCTTTCTTCGCAAAGTTATATAGTTTACAAGAGAAACCCTGAATTAATTTTTCCTTATTTCTGTAGTCTTGAGCTAACAATGAATATTTAGGGCTTTGCTTGTAAATTCTATAACTGTGTAAAGAAAGGTTGTGTAGAGCTGGAACATGTCTCATTTTAATCAGAAATGTGCGGACTAAAATCAGACCTTATTAAGAAAGGTTTTGGTTACGTTTCAGAGGCTCTGAAAAACTGGTTTTCCCGAAACGGCTCTTTCGAGGCCTAACTGCTCGTCTCATGTTTATATTTGGAATCAGCATAGTCGGTTACCTGTCACCTACTAGGTTTCGTCTCAAAAGCGATTTTCAAGTTGGAGGACCTCCCTCAAGGTAGGTCCCTGGAGACTGTCCGTAGCTTCCGAACGGTGGTAGATATAGATCTGAAACTTGCTTCACTTGAGATTTTGACGTAGAGTAGTAAACGAAGTGTTCATGATACTGCAGGTATGTTATATAAGCTAGATGAACTATGCTTTACATTTTAACCAAAGTACAAGATTCCATCTTTCTCCATCTGTCAATGGTTCAACTCCATGTATGACATTCCCAAAGTGTAAAATTCCATAACCGACATTGTGCATATGTGTATATTTTCTCATAGTATTTTCTTCATAAAAGTATAACTGACTTCCAGTAAACTGTTTACCTAGACATATATTTAACGTAATAAAACTATCATCTTGATGTTCTTTTAATTCAATATCTTCACCTAATTTATATTTTATAATAAATGAATGAGATATTTCAAATTTTGTATCATTGGCTAATTGAAACAAATCAATACAAAATTTGTTTATTACATTGTCGATCATGTGAGTAACCGCAAGTTTTAGTTCAGGATTATCACTTAATCGAATACCATAATTATTCATTGTATTTGGTGCTGAACAATTTAAAATCTGAACGTAGTTTATAATATTATTACAATCTTCTGTACTAAAACATTTAATGGAATAAACTCCTTTGATTAATAATGAACATGAATTGAAAATATTTTCGGATAAATTTTTGGTACTAAATGCATTACTAAGACCAGATTCTAACATGTTACAACTTATTATTTGATTATTGGATTTATCATTTTTATCATGTGTTTGTTGGGCAGTTGTGATATTTCGAGTGACAACTTTCGTTATGGCTGCATTATAAGCTTGATCATTTTTTTTAATGCTACTTAATTCATCGGGTGTGTTATTGTTATTATCTTTAACATTCTGATTAGCACCATTTTTAATCAAATATTCAGTAATTTCCACATTTCTATTAAATATTGCTAAATGAAGTGGCGTTTGATTTCCCAATATGCAAAGTTTAATATTTGCCACATAATAAATTTTATCCATAGTTAGACACTCAATATTGGCACCATTGCTTATCAATAATTTAACTATGTTTAAATCATCATTAATAACAGCGTGATGTAGCAAACAACAACCATCTGAGCCATTTGAGTTGATAATTTCGCGTTCTTTAATAAATTTGATAAATTCTGCATCATTAAAATCGTCGCTGTACATTAACTTTAAAGCGGTCATTACAGAATCTGACGAACTGTCTGAACCTATTTCGGATGACATGGTGTGATACTTTATGAGGTTGTTAATGACGATACTAGATATGCTTGTAATAATTAAACTGATCAAATTTTGAAAATTGAAGTATTACTCAAATTTGCGTGTAGTTATTACCCAACTTTCTTGCTTTTGTGGCAATCGAATGTAACGTTAACGAGTTCTTTTCAATGACTGTTTTGTGTAGGAAAAAAATAATTTAGACACGTTTTACTCAATTTTTTCTTGTCTCAATGCATCTATTCTTTTTGCGCGTTCTTTTTGCGCAATATATTTAGAACAGAACAAAATGAGTCATAGACTATATTAAAAGGCACACACCAAACAGACAAACCTGATTAAAAACAGCCCATATGTCATTATAAACAAAATCACATGGGTATAAAGTCTGTCTTGTCATCATCTGAAATGATGTTGAGTACAATTTAGACTATGTCTTGTAATGAATCGTTATCAAAGTAATAGGTCAGTAATAGCTTGTAACAATGTAATTTAAGATTAAGCTTATGACATTCGAGTGGAAGTTGACGAAAAACTGCTGATCAACCGTGATCGACTCGGTTGATCACATGGGCGATTAACTGATTTTATTGAGCTTTTTCTTTCATTCGCAGTCTAAACGCCTGGAGAACTTTTTGGATAAATCAACTAAGGAAAATTCGAGATTTAGCCTTAGAGAGTTTTGACAGAGCTGAAACTTGGGTTGGGGCATACAACCAGAGTGGAGTGCAGCCCACACAAAAATTTTCAGCTTTCTATCTTTCGTTATTGTGGAGAAATCGATGTATCAGTATAAACCGTAATGTGTGCATAGAGAAGTTGCAAAAATCGTATCTCGACAACGAAGGTGTAGAAACCCCAGTCCTTGTATACTTCTTCTAATCTCACTAAGCCTACTCATGGAAAAAAGTATCACGTCCAAAGTGATGTAACTGGTTCTCTCGTGAATCTCTTCTTTTACAGTTAAATCTTTCTTGTTTTATTTGTGTTGCACATATCGACGTCCTAGAACAGACGGTAGTTATTATGACAAACTGACTGCTGTTCTTCTCAATAGTATTTCCATTAAACATGCTCCGCTTATGTTTTTGGACGATTTGAACTCTGATCCAGTAAAATATTCGACATTATAACGTGCTCTTTGTGAAGCCACTTCATGATCTTATCGTGTTCCTCTTCGTTGAAATCAACAATTGAGACGGGAACTTAACATAGTTTTTATCCATCTATTAAGCGGTCCCTCATCTGGACGCTTTCGGAAATACATATCACAAAATCTTATTGAGCGAATGTCCTATAATTCGAACAAAACCACAGCAACCACGTAGTATCTTGTAAAGATGCTGGGTTAACCATGCCTTCTTTAACAAAATAATCTGTTGGGAAACTTTCTATCTGTCAACTTTATTTACTGCCTTTTGCTGAGGTATTCACATGATAATCCATTTCACTTTCATTGGAAAGCTCGTGAACTACTAGCAAAACACCTACTAAATGTATATTTAAAACACAATGCCAAATATTTTCCTAATAGACAGACAATGACGTTTCAACAACCACGACAATGACGTGGTGAACAGAAAGAAAATGACAAATTGAATTGTGCAATTCAAGAAATTCTTCTCTTTATGCTCTAGATAGTACATAAGTCAACAGTCTGTCGTATGTGCAAGAAGAAGTCTCTTTATTCTCACAAAGGAAGAATAAATTGACAAAATAACACATGTACAAAGTATCCAGAACATGACGATTGAATAAATGTGATCGAAGAACATCTATCTCAACACATTCAAATCGTGATCACCTTTGTTCATGAATTTTCCTTTCGAAAATTGAGAAAACAGTGCCTCTTTAATTATTCTCTTCCGAAAGCTAGTTTCAAAGGCTATAATTTTTGCGTTCTTAAAGTCCATCGTGTGTCCTAACTGCTCAACATGTTAAACAATTTTTGAGTTAGAAGAACGAAGTCTACACGATGTTCATTGATTCTTATGGACCAATCCCGTGCGGTATGTCCGTAGTATTTGTAATCACAGTCCACACAATGTATGCAATAAACAAGATTTTTCTCTTTTTCCGTTACATCTAAACCTTTTTGCAAAGGTAGGAAAACATTTTGGAGAGTGAGTGTTTTCCTATAAGCTATTTTTATATCAACAGTTGGCATCAGCTGACGTGCTAATTTCTTGATTCGTTGACCAAGTTTCTCGACCATAATAAGAAAATGTGAAAAACACAGACTACATCTTGGCTGGAGGATTCGACCGGCATCAAGATATGTACAATGATTTTAGCTTCTCTGATACCCCTCCTTATTATATTATTCGGATAACCGTTAATGATCACTAACTATCTTAGTTTTTTCAATTCAGTCTGACAAATTCATTACTAGAACAAATCCGTTAGATTCTGATTGTCAACGTCCTAATCAAACCAAGTTTATATGCCCTGCACTGATTAGACTCGTACAACATGTATAAACCAGTGTGCGTTGGTTTCTTATAAATCGTAGTTTTATATTTCTTTTCACTAACTTTTCGAATAACTAAGACATCTAAATAATTTAACTAACCATTTCTCTCATTTTCCACTGTAAATCTCAAACTTGAATGTAATTGTGTGTTAAGGTAGTTGAAAAACATATCCGCATCCTGATCTTCATTGAAAATACAAAAAATATCGTCCACATAACGCTTGTACAGTACAGGTTTAATACCAGTCAAATTCTGAATCTTTTCTTCTTTCTGCACGAACAGTTCAGCAAGTATATGTCCAATTTTCTTGTTGTTCTTCTTCTTTAAAACAAAATTTTTTTGCTGATATGTACACTTTTTCTTTTTGTCATTCACTCATGATCATGATCCTTGAATAAAGGTCGAAAGCTCGAGTAGTGTTTTAAGTGATAACTTGAACATGCATTTTGTCGCAGTGCTATATTTCTTACTTAAACAAATTTTTAGTATTAATATGTTAGAATAAAAGTAAAACTAAAACAGATCGATGGAACGTAAGATTCGAAATCTGTGTTTTCGTAAATCACCTAATAAAAAGCTCGATATCTGAGAACTGACATTGAAAGTTTGCTTCGATCTCTTAAAAGTGAAACTTGATTTATTTTAGTTTAAATCAGATTTTTTTAGTAAAGTTCTATATAAAGACTTTTTGAATCAATCCTGAGTTGCATCGGGCGTTTTTAATGTAATATGAACGGAAGGGTCAGTTATTCTTACTCCTGATGTTTATCGCTTGGCCAATGAGCTTTATAGCAACTCAGTGTGTAAAATTACAGATTGATTAACGGATTGTTTACAGAATTTGGTCGTTTAGTGAACTTGTAACCTGTTAAAGGTCTTTAGATTTTTTTCGCTTAAAATTAGCACTTGACAAATTTAATTAGCTCGATCCGGTGCATCTGCAAATGTGTAAATGATCCAAAGTTCTTCGCAGTGCGAACTTCGCACTTCAGCAGCTCACTTTCCAAAATTCTTATACGTGCAGTTAAAAGGATGTGCACCATGCCTCTTACACCAAGCTTGTTCTTAGGCATATTCTGTCATGCTTTTAATTTCGCGAAAATGGTCACAAATTCTATTATCACTAAATCGAAACTAGCCAATACTCCAAAAATTACATACATATACAATTACAAATACATTTTTCTATTTTTTGGCCAAAAAGCTTAAAGCGTTTCGTTGCCCGTCTGGGATCACATGAAGCATTGGATAGTTTGACAGATGGCAATGACGATAGGAATAACAATCAAAATGCGAATGAAAATGAAGATAACGAATATCAAGTACATGGAGATGTAGCACGATTTGAAGAGATTATGTGATTTTCTTTTGATGTTTATCCTTTTGTATATATAATGTTAATCCCATGAGGACTTTTTCGATGGCAAAGTACGATATATCGTGGCGTGACACTGATCGCGATAAAATACCGTATCGTGATGTAACATATCAACCGATGCATCGCTATGCGTTGAGTGCATCGCGATTACATACAATAATGAACAATATCGGGGTACATGTTACATACGCACATACAGCGTTATCGCGATAAACTTAAGACATGGCGAGATAAGACCACCCATTGTAATGAATTGGCGGATATTTTACATCACAGTACGATATTTTATTGCGGTCAGTGTCACGCCACGATATATTGCTCTTTTTTCGCTCAAAAAAAGTCCTCATGAGATACTCATCGTTTAATTTTTTAGGGTCGTCTGCGTTGACAAGTGGTCAACGTGCAGCACCGCCACGATCACAAACTACATAATCTCCGTTTCAGTTTTATGCTGATAATGATCGTGACGATGTCGAGAATGATGACGATGGTAATCTGTACAGAACTCAAAGTCAGTAGCTTCACGTTGTATAATGCATTTTTTGAAAAAACATAAAATAAAAAAACAAAATGTTTTACGAATTGAGATTTACAAAAAATTTAGGTCAGCCAGTTCTGTATAGATCACAGTGCTTGCACAAACATGTCTGACTTTGTTTCACTGTAATTTATTTCTCATCATCGCTCTTATCTCGAGATACCTGTATTCGTTCTTCATGAACAAACATGATTTAGTTTCCTTTATCAGAGCATCACATGTCGAATAGATGGCATTACTTCGCTCGAATTATGGCTTAATACACACAAAATCGAAAACTGCTTGTCATTTTGGTGCATGCGGTTCGATATGAATGAAAATACATTGAGATACTATCTAAAACAGTCAGGTTTAACTATAACAAGGCTCAGAAATGCATACAGCAAACCATTGCAAAAGCTTTCCAGATCGTGCTGACAGACAATCGTTATTTACATAATTATTACATTATTTTGCGGTCTAAGTCCAGAAAAAACATAAACTATACGATGATAACTGAGGTGCCGGAAATTCGAAAGGTACACACAAAAATAGATTTTCTGTAAATATACATGGTTGGATAGTCCGTAAAACGTAGATTCCGAATATCACCTTTTTGTTCACTTTTGGTCAAGTTTTGGGGGAGAAATCCTCAAAATACTGAATACCACTTGAACAGTGAGATTTTGATACTTTCGAAGTAAACTTCAAATTTGACCCAGTTAAATAGGTTCTCATTTTCTACACACATATTCGGATTCAGGAGTTCAAAAGGAGTCTAGACATGTAAGTTTGAGAGTATTTTATTTATTCTAGCACCTGAGTCAAATAGCCTATGTCCGTCTATGGCCGTTTTGAGCCCTCTGTGCGCCAAACCTAGCTTTTGCATTAAAAGCTTTCTTAACAACTATACATCATTCGAACCGCCATTAAAAGGCGAACAAAAGACTGCGTGCGTTCGAAAAACTTTCGCTTCTTTGTGGAGAAAAGACGACTTTACTGAATCAGCGGCGAAAAAATCGAAATTCTGCCCGTACTTCGGGATTTTTCCGAACAAACGTCAACTTCTGTGCAATAGCAATATAATATTCAGAATCGGGATCCAAAACTCAATCGAATGATGTGTATTTCGAAAATTTTTCACTCCTTTAATTTCTTTCGAATTCCCACTTCAATAAATCATCGGGATTTTCACCAAAAACTTAAAGTAGTCGAACATTTTCGAAAGATACACCATTCGATTCAGTTTTTGATCCTGATTCTGAATATTTATTGCTAAAAGTTGACTTTTGTTTGGGAAAGTCCCGAACAAAACGGCAGAATTTCGATTTTTTCTCCTCTGATACAGTAATTTCTCCACGAGGAAGCGAAAGTTTTTCGAACGCATGCATACTTTTGTTCGCCTTTTAATGGCGGTTCGAATGATGTATAGTTGTACTCCATTCAAGATTAGAAGCATTTCCGAAGAAAACAATTATACAGACATTAGCAGCCCCATAATTCAGCTCAAGAATGTAGCTGTTTTGATCAAAGCAACACTTGCTGCTATGTCAACAGTTCCAGTGAAAAACAATGAGCGTGACCTCGCAAGTTCGCGCGGGAAAATAGTATGTCGTTAGGGATTTCAATTTTTCCGCAGGAAAAGCGATTCACGGCGAAACGTTTTTTCCGAACTACGCAGAATGTTTTTCTGCAGAAAAATCTATTTTTCTATTGAACTTTTCATTCAGGATTCTGCGGGATATTTTTTCAGCAAAAATATATCCCAAAGAATGCAGTTGTTTACTCTATACTATTTGCTGAACCAATAACATATCAACTGGCAAGATCACGCACCTGAAGTATTCGCTTCAATAAAAGAAACGTCGATTTTAGAAGTACAGGCAACTGTATCAGAGTCAAGCTCTGGTTCTGGTCGTCTTGTATATGAACACGTAAAATATGGACAAAATCGTCATCTGATAAGTTGCAAGTGCTAAGGGACAAAATGTACGTTTTTCAAATCTGATTCATAAGCCAGACAAAGTTATTTAACAAGATACAGTGGCTTTTGTGGATCGGGTGTTGTGTCGTGTTCGCGTTCACGTTAGACCGTAAAGTATGGGTGTAACTACGATCCAAAAACTGGCCGCTCCGGATTTCTCCGGTTTCCGGAACTTAGGGGCAAAAAACCGAGCGTGGATGTACTAGGACCCTTGTTTACACTTGGATCAAAATCCTGTGGGGATCGTGTGCTAGGACAAAAGCCGGACAGACACATTGGTAAAGGATGGGTGGAGAAATGCAGCTGGGAATTACAGCTTCTTTTGCCGGCCGCGTCCTTTCCTGAGCTTGAAATTCTATTATGTGCCAGAGAGTTTTTTTGTTTAGTGATTGTTTGAAAATATTTTTTATTTTATTATGAAATTCTATAAATATTTTTCTTCTGTACCTTTATAAAAATATATTACATAAATTCATCCAATAGTCGCTTGGGATCAAATCGTATATTGTGTATTCTTATTTCACTGTAGGTTGCAAACATTTGGTTGACGTTTAATTTTGTAGAGAGTTCTTTTCCTTTGTTTTAGCTTGAGATTTTCTTTATCTATGATAGCTTCGAGCGGACGCATATGATATAATCAACAACGAAACAATAATAATCTTATTATTATTTTTGAAACTTAAATGTATGTATCATGCCACTACATAAAATCTACGTTGGAATTTTCCAACATAACAGCATATAAATAACTCTCTGTAAATAAATAATATAAATAATTCACATAATATAAATAACTCAGTGTAGAAACACAGAAGGAAGAAAGTTCTAAAATTTGATAATGCAGAGTGGCAAAGCAAAGAAGCAAACATAACAAAAGACAGTATCTATAATCTGTTGGAACTACTGAATGATGAGCGTTACATACACTTCTTTCATAAGTTATTAATTGCTGGTCTCAGTTAGCAAAGTAACAAAAACCGACCGACTCTAATATGCTGCGAAAAATATGGTCATGTTTTTTTAGCCGAAGAGATAAGGACGTCGATACACTATAGTCTGATGCACAGCGTGGACTGGTTTAACAATAGCAAATCAGAAGGAAAACTTTTCTGTTATTCGATATTTTTCCATTATTGGCCATAGTGCGTTAGAATCGGGCGATTGGAGCTAGGTAACACGATTTTCAAAGCAGTTAAACTAGCTCCACTTCAAAAAGTTTAACCTAGGATCAGACGGCTCAATACTTTAGGGCGGTTTGGGAGGTTATCACCTAGGTTAACCGCCCGATCGAGTTAGTTCTATTCGATCTGGCTACAACCAGTGGCGGAGCCAGGATTTTGGACTAGAGGGCTCCGCCGGGGGCGGGCGCCCCGGGGGGGGGGGGGGGGGGGGGGGGGGGGGGGGGGGGGGGGGGGGGGGGGGGGGGGGGGGGGGGGGGGGGGGGGGG